CGACTATATTAAAGCATAAAATGCTTTTTAACGGGACACCTCCCCCCCCCCCCTTTTTTTTCTTTCACCGAAATTTTGTCCGTGCATTTCTCGCTAAATTTAGAGGGGTAAATTGACTTTACGTGACGTTACGTCACGTGACTTAGATATGTATCAATTCAGTCTCCACGCTAAATTTAGCGGGGAAACCTCACGTCACGTGTCCTGTACAGCAACCCAGGTTTCCCGTCTAATTTAGGGGGAAAATTTACGTCGCATGATTTGAAGCCACGAGGCCTATAACACACCCATTCAGTTTTCCCACTCAATTTAGCGATAAAGCATAGGCGGATCCCCTGACCTGACATCACGGGACCCATAACCAATTCAGTTTCACGGCATATTTCGCGAAAGAATCTAGTTCACGTGACCTTATTAATACAGCTGTCTTTGTCTTTTTAAGACTTAAAAGACATACAAATGTCTTTATATATATATATATATATATATATACATACATACATACATACATACATACCCTTGCAACGCAGGCTAAAGTCATAGTGCTTCTCCGAAATTGAACATTGGTCATCGAACATTAGATTGCTTTGTATCAATTGACGGGTGCTTGCTGCTTACTACTTTACTCTATTGCGTTCTAGGGAACGGAGTTTTTCTACGCTGTTTAGTATTTTAGCAACGCTATTTTTTATATACACCACTACCGTAATGGCAAATAGCTGGAGACGTTAGTGCTGGTTTGTATGAAAAATTCAGTTATGTATTCGTATAGACTAGGACACGTTAAGAAACGCACGGCGTGGTGAGCCCCGGGGCTCCCATTATTGCTTCGGAGCAACTGAGATTAAGGCGTTAGGCAACGTTAGTAGACCCAACTCAGTTGGGAAACTGCCATGGGAGCCTGCTTTGAAGAAGTGGCTCCGATCCATACTGGAGAACCGAACTGGATGCGATCGCAGCGACGCCATTTCTCCCGCAGCGGTCACTCCGCGAACTGCACGGTTGCACGTTCCTGTATTAGCGCCGAGATGCTTCGGTGGCGCCCTCTTATGGTTTCCCACAGTGACGTCAAGACTATGATTTGCCTCGCCGTGACGTCACCACTTGTTATTCCGGCTACTTATTATCGGGTGCGACGACGAGTTTGATGGTGTGTTTAAAAAGCACAGTAGAAGCTAGGAGCCATCGCAATCCGAAACCAACAAAGTTGACAATCTGACACTGCTCATATGCCCATGGTTTGGCCAATCGTGGAAAGCTGACCAGAGCGACGCTTTTGGCCGCGCACATCGCTAATAGTTCCTGTGTAGGCTCCCTACGGGAGCCAGAGTAACGCGACTGTTTTCCATGTGCCGCCGCGCCGCTATTCGGCGATATCGATCACATGAGGAGCGAAGAATCCTGCGTCACGCAGGAAAGTAGACGTTGCACGCGCCCCGGAGTATGCTCCCCCTTTTTTGACAGCTTCTCCTCCTGTCCCGTTTTCCATGCGCGACGGCGCGCGCGGCGCCGCTACTCGTTGAGTTTAGTCACCTGACCGGCCGCAATCGACGCAGCACGGCTCCTGCACGCATGAGGGGGGCTTTCCCGCATAATTAGCATTTCGTGATGGCTGAACGCGCAAATCTGGCTTTTTCCCAAGGGCGCCACCATCTTAAAATATCGTCACTTCCAGTATGGGCGAAAACATTGCTTTGCCGTCGCCACGCCAAAATAATGCCCTTAGGATATAAGCGTAAACATGACCGATTCTGGTTTTGTCTCCCCTCTATTCTTTTATTAATTTCAACTTAAAATGTTTTATTATTTTTTTCGTCGCCCATGCCGGATATGCTCACCAGGTGGCTGGGAATGAGAGTAAGCGAAAAACTATGTGCCGCCGTCCCGCAGTAGCTATATAAAGCAACTTTTATGTCTTGAGTCGCCGCTAAAGGGTGGCGCTGTAATAGTTTCTAGTTCGGTCTCGGTGGACGCAAGCGGTCCGGGTTTCGAGGGTGAGTTTCCCAACTGAGTGTTGTAGTAACAAACTGGTAGCGGAGCACGAAAAATACACACGACAAAAGAAGGAATGGGCACGGCGAGCGCCGAACTTCAGCGGTTGTCTTTTCGGCGCCCGTGTGAGATGTCGCAACTAGGCCACAGAGTTTCTGACAAAAGTGGGAGAGCTAACCAATGTGGCGGTAAATCAGGAATAAGTACGTTGAGTGCGTAGTCCGAGTAGTCTATCGTATTCCACTGAGCTGTGGCACAGTTACATCGGCCAGACTGGCCGATGTGTCGATGATCGAGCACGCGACTATGCACTTTCGCTACAGTCTACCACCCTGGGGCACCTTCCTTTGCACTGTGTCAGGTGCATGTATCGGCCGAAATTGGACAGTATCCCGATTTTGGGCGGAGGGGCTGACAGAACTGTGATAGACTTGCTGGAATTCTACAAAAGAGGAAAGGAGGGTAATAATTGTGTCTGCCAAACATAGGTTTATTTAAACAAGAAACTGATAACTTATTTGAGCACGTTTTGACGCGATGACGGTGTGGTTCTTTGCCTCGGTGTTTTCGTTAAACGTTCAGTTGAAGTTCGCCCTCATCCTGTCCATTCCTCCTTTTGTCTGTGTATTTTTTGCGCGCTGCTACCAGCTTGTAATCATGAATCAACTCGCCTGCATCGCTGCATTGGTTAAAGTAACGTTGGCATTAGGTGATAATGCTGCCGAAGACCGAAGGACCAAGGTGGACGCGTGAACAGGATAAGTCTGACTCTGAGTTTCTTAAAGTGACTATAGATGTACTTAATTATGAGCTTTGAACTTTAATGCCATAAATTTGTGCAGAGGACACGGGTCAAAAAGTTTCCAGTAAGAGGCTCGTCTATACTTCGGTCACACTTATACAGAGACTACAGCCGAAGCTATACAAGGGCGAGCTATAGTCCACCGCTTCTTGCTTTGAGACCTGCCTTTCTAGCGCGAACGCTCGTTCTCCGGAAGAACACTTGGAAGCAGCGACTTCGAGCTCTCGTCGTGCTTCTGGCATTTGCTGCAGTCTAAGCTATACGATCATAAAAAACAATTACAGGACGATCCCTCGGTGCATCCTTAGGGAATGCGTTAGCATGACTTTCGGGAAACGCCACACACGCAACCCTTTCAGAAACACTAACGCTGACCCCTTCACTTTCCTGTTTTGGCTTTCTGTTTTGCTTCCCCTATTTTTTGCTGCCTCTTTTTGGCATCGTTACGGGGTCATTGTTAGCGTTTCCCAAAAAGGGGACGTGTGTGGCGTTTTTCGAAGGGTCATGCTAACACATTCCCTAAAGATCCACCGAGAGATCTTCCTCTAATTTTTTCCCGGCGAAGCGGGTTAGCGTACGAAGACCCGCGTCGGCATGCCGCTTGCTCCGCATTTCGGCTAGCCGGGCAACGTACTGTTCCCGCTCCTTTGTCTCGTTCGCCCGCTTTGCACGCTTAGCAGTTTCACAGCAGCAGCAGTCTTCGTTTGGAGCATGGCGTTCCACCGACGTTCCAAGTTTCTTAGAGGGAAGAGTATCGTTTACTAAATTAAAACTTGTTGTTGGCCTAGTTGGTTCATGATGCAGTATAGAGGTTTTCTTGCGCGACACAGGGGACAATTACAAGCGAGTAGACACGGACAAGCGCAAGCGCTTGTCCGTGTCTACTCGCTTGTAATTGTCCCCTGTGTCGCGCAAGAAAACCTCTATACAGTATCGTTTACGTAGTCCCTTGCTACTCTACTGTTGTTTGTTTACTTTGCTTTTATATCGGCGTAAACCAATCGCATACCGTGTTATTTTTTGCCCGTTGTATTTCATTCAGTAAAAGGATTTAGATAGATGAACCCGTTGCATTTTGGTAGTTCGATCGCTATTGATTGTTGTTATTTAGTTACAAATTCACCACTGTCTCGCGTACCTGTACACTACTCGACAATGTTAACGGAAACACGACTTCGGTGCATTTTCGCCTTTTACTTCATCCGAATTTCCCGCTAGGGTTATACCCCGCCTGGTCACTTTCCATCACTATAGTAGTTTAAAAAACAGTCCTTTAACACAAAAAACAACACAAACACACACACACACACACACACACCGGGGATTGCTTGTTCACGCTACCAGTGTGTCACAGAGATTATACTATTAGTGAAACAGTGCTTCCCTTGCCTTCGTTAGCGGTGTACGTGCGCTTGAAGTATTAATTTATTCATTTAGTAATTAATGCCTCAAAGGCCTACCATAGGGCATTACACGAGAAAAGAGCTGCTAAACAATTGCGGTAGAAAAAAAAAAAGAAACAAAGAAACAGAATACATAGATGCGATTAAGAACGAAAAAAGTAACAAATACACTACAGCCCCAGCCACACCGCTAATACGCCAAACCAAAAACACAGAGTTCTCTGCAGAGGTGTATGTTCGAAGCATGCTTGAGTAATGCATACGCACGCTTCACACACGTCTGCAAGCAGTTTTTGCACTACCAATCTGAGAGCTGACCATCGTACAGGAAAGAAACGCTATTCAGACACTAGGGAGTTTTAGGGAACCGTTTTCGCACATCCCCTACGGTACGAACTGCTCGTGTGCGAGTCTTCTGCGGTAGCGCATGCGCAGATCGTACCGGAGGACCCGTCGTACCGTATGGGATGGGCAAAAACGGTTCCCTCAAACTCCCTACTGTCTGCGGACTGTCTTTTGTTTGACGTCTTAACAGACGCGTCCCGTCCTGCATATAGACCTTTCCAGCGGCAGTCTCGAACGAAGCGAGCGGGCAAAAAATGCTGAGTCACTGAGCTGTGGACGCATGCGCATCGTCCGATATACCGCATAGCAGATCAACAGCGCATGCTTGAAAGGCGTTCCACAGCCCAGCAGACAAAGATGGCAGCGCGCAGGACGGTATTTCTGCAAAGGTCTATAGAAACGAACGAGTAAAGAGTTGTAACATAAATGAACGGAAAGAAATGTTCGGGTCTGCATACCTGGCGAAGGCGTTCTTCTCGTCGACCATGGGACTGGCGAAGGGGGAGTAGCCCAGCAGCGACGTCTTGCCCTCCATCTCGACCTGGTGCTGGGAGCCCGGACGGAGACCCGTGTCCACGACCGCCGGAAGAAGCGCGTTCGAGCTTAGCTTGTCGGGGGTGCAGTCCATTCCCCGCTGGTCCCGGCGAAGGAGGATCAGGTTCCCCGAAGGACCGTGGTGTCCCTTAGGTGACCGCCTGTCCTGGGGTCAGCCAGAAGGAACGCCTCCTTGGGACCATTGTCCTGCTGGCTCCGAAGCCGTCAGGGAAGTCCAAGACGCTGGATCGGCTTCGAAGACTTCTTTGTCTGCATCGAGGACAAGGGGGATCTTTTCTTCTTTTATTTATTTTTAGAGCGGTTAGCCGCTGATAACTTAAGAAACGCAGGACGTGGCCAGTGAAGTTGTGGCAATAGCAGATAAAAATTTAAAAAAGCGGAACAACGAATCACGAGGCAATAGGCCGGAACACAGTCAACCACGCCCTGCATTTCTTAAGGTGTGTTTGACTATATATCACACGCAGGAAAAGTATTCGAGTTTGCTTTCGACCATAACGCGAGACAACAATTCACGCAAAACAATACCAGGATGACTGAGGATGATGAAGGTCGCCAAGTACCATTTGAGCAGGTGTCGCAAACTCATTTGACTGTGGGGGGCCAGATAACCCATATCCGAAATGTCGAGGGCCAACATAGAGTCGGGGAAGGGGGAAGAAAGTAATATATTTTAGAAAAAAGAAAAAAAAAACAGCGAAAACAGCGACGGTGATCCGCGATGCAAATGTAGCGGAGTCTTTCAGCGCTGGAATTTTTCAATAGAACTAGAGACCAAGCACGGAATTGTTACGCTGTCGCTCAATTCATCCGGGAATTATTAGAGTCCATTACGTCTCGTAAAAAAAAATATTTTCGCAATGTAGATTTTTTTTCTTGCTTTCCTGACGATTGTTATAGCAGAAATACCAGAAAATACTCCTGTCTTCACAGTATGTAAGACAAAACAATCCTGGTTCTGAAAGAAAACAGATTAGAGCCAAATATCTGCAAACGTCGTAAGCGCAAAGCTACGTTTCCAGTGAAAACTGGATGGACGGCAAGAGGTCATTATTTATGCCGCACGTACAGCGCTCAGAAAGTCGCGGCCCGCATGCGGCCCGCGGAACGCGTGTTTGAGACTCCTACGTTAGAGCAACAAATTCTACGTGCACGACGCTTCACTCGGGCACTGTTTCTGCTCAGGTTGCATCTTTCCGGTCTATTCGTATAATTAAATTAAGGTTAGTCATTTTTTTTTAAATCCTTTTATTTTGAGCCGTAATGTGCAGGAATATAAACATCTAGCCTTTCTTCTTTTTTTTTTTTACCAGCGGTAGCTGTTATTGTTCCTTTCTGCCCAAGTCCGGCGGCGTTCATACGCAAAAACCCACGGAATTGCGGGGACAGAGATAGCTCTACCACGCTATCATTATCTCCCTATCCCCGTCAACTATCTCACAATCATGTCATTTATCGCGACACCCGCAACCGATTTCTCTTTCCGTCGCCCCCTTCCCCTCCCCCTCCTGCTCACTCACCCCTGGGAATTCTGAGAAATTGTCCGGCGCGTGTACAGTACGGCGAGAAATTGAGGGACAGGGGAGAAGAGCGCTCAGAGACGAGAACGCTGACCTCCGGTTCGAATATATTATATGGCTACAGACCTAAAGCTATACCTGCCTTTGCCTCCACTGCCACAGCCTCCTTACACTGACAACGCCTGGCAGATCACCACGAGAAGCGGCCGTCGGAATGGAAAAGGTGGAGCGACGGACAAGGGATGAGGGGAAAGCCACGTGACTGGCACCCCGGTGCGGCGAGACGCCGAAACACACTTCTTCCGAGCGAACAAGTGTGTTTCGGGTCCTCGCCGCTGCAAAAGCTGTGCGCTGGCGTCCAGGTTCCCCGAAAAATAGCTCTTTGATTGTTCTGTGCTACCAGGTCCTTGCGCTCTAAATCTGCTACCGGGCACTCTATGGCTCCGTCGAAGTGCCAGGCTTTGTGAGTATAGAGGAGGCTATGCCTCTACTCACCCTTCGACCGAGCACGAACGCGAACGGCGATCGCAGGACGCCGGCGTTCGGCGTTCGAAAGCGTTTAAAGATTAAGTAGAGCCAAAGACAGCTAGCTTCGTATCTACCCAGCAACCATTGCAGCCCGAGCTCGCTGTTTTGACTTGTCCGCCCGATCTCGTCTCGTCCTCTCTTTCCATTTCTCCCCCTGTTCGCTTTCCACCCGAGAAGCGGGAATGGGGCCTCGCTGAGCCGAGTAGACGCAGGGCTACGGCGTCTCAAGAACAGCAAAGGACGCAAGACCCCGACCATTACGCACGAGAGGCAGCGCGCAACCGCCTTTCACATATTTATTAAGGCACGTCTCCGAAGCCAGGACTCCTCGGAGCGAAAAAAGCGACGATGCTTCTTCCGGCGGAGTTCCCTCTGGGCGCGTCGTCAGGCGAGTGGCTGTTGCGCCGCGCAAAGCGACCACACCGTTGGGCCAAGTTCGTCTATTCTTTGTACCGCTCCATGGAGTTTCAGCTTTTACAAATATCTTCTACTAAAGAAAAGCTGCTAAAGCGAATGTAGCAAATTGCCGGGCAATTGCGTCGCACGTGGAATGTGTGGATTCAGTTCGATTTCTGTGGGATTCACGTTTAGACGCACTCAGCGCTGTTTATCAGTTAGTTTAGGGAATGGCTTAGCGTGTGGAATGTAGCACACTCGATGCTCGAATGGAGATACTGACGACAACCCGGGTTTGAAAAGTCAGGCGCTCTTTTAGAACCTGATCCAGTCAGTCAGCATCGAGCTAGGGGGCGTGACGTCTTCACTTATCTCAGTCAGCATCGAGTTAATCGACGACTTCAATTTTCGGCTTCATAGAATTCTAGACCACCCCTCTTCTTCCCCTGACGAGACAAAGCACGTGTCGCGTGAATATCGTACAGCACATCGGCCAAACCGAAACTCCTCCAGCCCAGGTTTGAACAACTAACGGCTGCCGTCGTCAACCGCAGCACGCTTTGTGGTGTTGTATGCAATTTTTAGAGTGCGGTAATTGTAGGTATTTCTTTTCACCGAGGACAGCACCTCGTTTTGGTGGTTGCCATTTCGCGAGGTGCTCGGGTGCGACCCTAAAAAACCAGCACACATGATACGTCTTGCGAAGACCGATATCTAAAATTTCAACAGTGGGACGTTGTTTCGTAAAACCTTTTATGTGTGTGTGTGTGTGTGTGTTTTTTTTAAACTCAGCTCAGAAGTGGCGGAATCTTAAAAATAAAGCAACAATGGCAGTCGTGCATTTCCTATATCCTCTACCGACTCATTTCTCGTCTGCGCATTGCTTTGTGTCCTCGCCCCCAGGAGAAGTCGACTTGTTTCTAAATGCAAATTTAAAACAGCATCTACGGTCTTATATCTCCGGCGGCGTTCTTAGTGTTTTTGCCTTTTTCGCGTCACCTCGAAGTCTGCTGGCACAGCAGAGTGCAGACAGCAAACAACCCGTTACATGACACAGAACGTGCCCTGCAGCCGCCGATTTTGCCCTATTTTATCGCCTCTAAGTTGAGCCTATTAAAAAAAGACAGACATAAAACTTCTTTTTGCGAAACGACTTTTGCGTGCCCGATTTCAGCTCTGTACTGCTTTTGGAATTCGAATTCCAGTCGTGACTAAATAAGCGTAAACAAATTGAATCACGTCCTGCGTTTTTGCAGCAGTCGGTGACGGACTTTAGGTTACTATACAATTCAGGGAACGACACTTGGTTCCCCCCCCCCCCCCCCCCCCCCCAAGTCTGCCTCGCAAATCAACAACCCGTGGCGTCTTGGCCGTATCCGCCGGAGCAAAATATAATGACGCGAGCTCCTATTGGCTGCCGCCCCCTCCCCCCCCCCCCCTCCCTTACCCCTCACTCTCTCCATTCCTTTCACCGACGACTTTAATTAATTCTCACAGGGTTTTCTGTCGACCCTTAATTCAGATCGACATCACACATCAGGCTTCACTCCTTGATTGCGAAACTCTTCCGAGCATGAGAGACCGTCTGCGTGTGTAAACAACAACCGAGCGTCCCTTTCCTCATTGTCTCTATTTCTCTGCTGCTTTTGGGATGACTCGTTCCTATCGACGGGCGACCACGAGAGGATGCCATTCGTCTTCCGTACGCTTGACTCTAAAAAGTCTGGAGCGCATACTTTCCTCAAAAGCACTATTGGAGGGCCAGTATACATGCAGTCTACGGCGAGTCACGTGGCTGCAATTATGTTTAGGCCTAAAAAAAGCAGCCTACGCTGCTGTACAAAGCGGACTGTTTTTGTTTTCTTTTTTTAGGGTAAACATCTTTATTTTCATCATTATCTGAGTTTCCCCCGTAAACATCGGTGAATGGCTCGCTCAAGCGCCTCCCGAGAAAGTAGACGCTGAAGTTTTTTTAGGCTGTTGTACACATGTAATAAAAATGTTGTATTAACTTTCCCGCAGAACGCGAGACTATTATAATTACGGCGAACAGTATAGAGGCATCCAAGCGAATGACGAAGTACCGTCGGGAGTTTTGAACGCCCACGGTGCAGGTTCTTTGTTTCACCAAACGTTGCTCTCTTGGAAAGTTACAGTTTTATCTTCGGCAATTTTCGCGTGTTCTGGGTTGAATCATTAAGGAACGTAGCGCGTGCTTAAAAGATATTAGCGTGCTGCTCCAAAACAGACCGCCGCCAACGACGCGGGATGCACGGTGTACCCTTCGTGCTTGTAGTTTCAGGCATCATTTTGCCTCATGAAACATGTATCTCTAGTTTGCACATTTCTCTGTCTTCACTTTTTCAATTTTTTTTTGTTTTGTTGTTATATTTTTCTAGTTTAGTTTCACAATCTATGTGAGTGGACGCTTGTTTGTCGTCTACGTGTTTCTCTCCTCTGCTCTTGTCTTTTTGTGGGCAACTTGAACTATATTTAAGTGCTACCGACCCACCCAAATGACCACCTTACTGCGAAATATTAGTGCTTGGTACCGTTTTTGTTCCTAGTTTTCGGCACACGTGCGCCTCATTAAACGTTTATTTTTAAAAATCACGTTTCTTATTCATTT